AGCAGAACATACCTACCGAGGGATGCTGCAAGGAGAGAAACAACCCCTCTCCTCCTAAAATGAGACTGCCAGCACTTAACAATGTTCTTGTGACATTGAAACATCCAGGGTTGTCTATTCAAGTGCTTCCTTCACCCATCTGGTTCCTGTCCCCAAGCATGCAAAAAAGCTAATTTTAACAAAACCTGGGCTATTTCCAGATCCACTTAAGCATTGTCAGTTCTGTCAGCTCTTCTTGTTGGGGCCATCAGAGGAGACGACCTTGGGGAAGAATTAATGGAAGCCGTAGGACCCTTCTGGATTAAAACGGACTTGCAAGCCTGCAGGAAAGCACAAGGCTGTGGGAGAAGTGCCCAAAGATAGATGATGTCCCATGAAACCCGCACTGCACCAGTAGCTGAGAAACAGTTTATGATGGGCTCATGAAGTCATCTGACCTGTTGTGGCAGTGGAGGAGCAGAGCCTACACAACAGCTTCTTTCTTTGGGAGGAGCAAACATCTGCACGACATGAAAATAACACCACTAGGAAAACAAAGAGGATGAACCCACATGTCACTGGTCTGCAAAATCCAATATTGGAGGCTCAGAGCTCAGCCCCCCTGGGTGGCTGGGTGGCCAGAGGGACACCAGACCCAGCCTGCCCAGCCTGTGGGAGGAGCTGAGAAAAGACCCATCACATCACTTTTGGCCCGTTTTCAGGGAGGCACCGACTGGCTCCAGAAGAAGTCGTAGGCAAGTCTCTTCTGCTACATTTTGAAAATAGGCCTTTCAAAGGCATCAGGTAAAAAGAGGCAGAGTTGGTGGGAAATAATACTCTTGAAAGACAACCTTCCTCAGAACTGGAGAAGAAACTTATTTCATGTTTGTAGGCAATTTACCTTGGCTCGTGATGATCGCAAACTAATATTTGCTCACCTGCAAAAGCAACATGAGATCGGCCCACCCATCCATCCTGATACACAGCACCATGGCTGCTGTAGGACATACACACCAGGACTTGTCTGAGTGCAGGAGTTCCAGACCTCTCCCCTTACAGCCAGAGCACTAGCTTCCAAATTTGGAGGTGTAAGTAGACAAACCTACCGATTCCTCTTCCTGCATGGAGACGTTTTACCCCAGGATTCCAGCTAAACACGGGAAGGACCGAACCATGGGATGGACATGGGCAATGGCTCAAAAGAACTGTACAGCCTAAAAAGGATAAGTAAAGAAAGGGAAGAAACAGAGAGGGGGTTGAAGCAGCCATGACAGCGAAACGGACACGTAACAGCACACAAGGGGGAAACAGTGGTCACCGTAAGCGTTTCTTTATGTTAAAAACTGTATCTAACGATGTCTCTTAATAGCTGAAAATGGTGGTAGTTCACACTTCAAGGTTTTTGGCTACCAATACGGGAGTGAAGGAAAAGTGTGTGGAAGTTGGGTGGTGTGGGACATAAGAGCTTGTTGTTGATTTGTGACAGCACAGCTGGAAGCCTGCAACCCCTGCGCAGTCCAGGACCCGCAGGTTCTCAGCTGCTCCGAAAAATCAAGTTCCCCTTATTTATGACCCAAGGATAGATAGATGCTTTGGGGACCTCGTGGTCATTTTAAATTCAGTTCCTACGGTCTACTCCATGTCTCTTTTATAGCTGAGTCACCTGGTTTCGAAGCGTTGTTTCCAACTTCTTGCAGGGCTGTCTTCCTGTCCCACGTCCTCCCCAGTCCCACC